GCCGCGGCCCGCGGGTCTCCCCGGCGCCCCCTAACGGCTGCGGGGCACCGGCCGCGCCGCCTCTGGCACAGGCAGCCGCGGGCCGGGCCGGGCTAGGCTTGGCCGGGCTAGGCTTGGCCGGGCCGGGCCCAGCTTCCCGATCCTGGGGCGTTACGGGACGGAGGGACAGAGCCCGGGCCCGCGGAGGCGGGCGGAACAGAAAAGCCGTGCTGGGGCTGAGGGATAAGTGGGACGAAGGCCTGGCACCCGCAGGCACTGAGACCCGCACCGGCGGGCTACGGGAGAGCAGGACGCTCGGCCTCTGCTTTGCCAGCGGCTTTTTCTTTCCTTGTTGGTGTCCCTCCTCTTTTTGTCCGACCCCTTTTATCCTCTCCCGATTGTGTTTACGGCTGTGCAACAGAAAACTTCGGGTTGCTGTAAACAAGTTGTGGCTTGTGGATGTGAAGCATTGAGGAGGCAGAGCGGGAAGAGCAGGGCTTGTTGCTAATAGCAAGCCTAAAAGAGTATTAATGTTCCATACAGATCCTTACTTTATTAAAAATTTTAAAAAATCTTGTGTTGATGTTGAGCGTCTCTCTGACGTCCCCCTCAGACACATCTGCCAGTTTTGAGGTGCAGCCGTGCTCATGAGGGGTGAGGCCGCACAGCCCCCGCAGGTGGCAGCCCTCTGGACGTGGCTTTGTGAACGAACTCCAGTTCTGAAACATCAGACCTTGTTTGGGGATAAACAGCTTTAAGACTTCTGATGGCAATCTTGTACTTCCGTAAATGCAGCTGCAGCATATGTAAGTGATAGAAAACTCAATTTACTTCAAGGTTGGTAAAAGCAGAGACTCATGCTTATAGTCCACATAAATTCAGGGACACAATAATAAAAGTGTTGCCTGTCTAATAGGTAATGACACCCTTGGATACTAGTTTGATTTGCAATGCTCATTTGTGCCTTTTAGGTTGGTTTTTTTACTGATGCTTAGGGAAAGGAAACTAGGAGAAAACTTTACATCCAGAGAGTTGGATGCTGTTATATTTTCCTATATTCCTGTCATCTCCCATTCTATAATTTTGAGAATCTTTTAAGTGTAGAGTATTTGGAAGTATGTTATTTTAATAGGCACTTATTAATTACCATTTTTCAACTAGAACTGGCTAGTTTTCAGTCTGACTCCTTTTTCTAATTCTCAAGTTTTTTCTTTGCCCGTGGTGACACTTTAAAATTATATTTGAATAGTGAAAAGATTTCACGATGTTAGAGAACATGAGTGCTGCAGATAGTGTTTAAAGATATGTTAGAACCGAGTGAGCATAATGCTAATTTTCCATGACAACTAGCTTGTCCAAACAAGCAGTGGATAACTGCCTGGACTTGTCCATTGGCTAAATATAGATTTTCAGCAACCATGGCACCTTGTAAGAATTCCAGCAATAGTTTAGATCTAGATATTTGTGTGATACCAGATATTCAAGATGAGCCTGTTACCCCTCTAGAGCATAAAGCTCAAGGTCTAGTGAGGGACAGCCAAGAAGCTGCCAGAATTTTGCAAAGCGTGCTCACCTCCTGTTAGCACTGGAGTTTCAAGGCAAACAGAAATCTGGTTTAAGTGGAATTTCCTGCCACAGGCAAAGTCAGGTAGCTGCTCATTTCCACCCAGCACCCCAATTCCTGAGATCCTCAGCTATCATTATTAGTTGAAAATTACATCTCCACAAAAATGCAAGAAGATAGAACTGAGTGGCTACATTCAGTTGATGTAAGGCTGAACAGCAGTATTACCAATGCTAGTCTTGTCCTGATGTGGCATGAAAAGTATTTAATTCCTATACAAAATGCATTTTACTGAAATGAAGCAAACAAAACCAAAGTGTTTATGTAGTTTTCCCAAAACTACATCATATTATTGAGCCTTGTCTTAAGTGCAGTATCATTTTGCTAAGGCTGTGTGGAAATTAAGGTGCTTTTTAAATTAGCAAGAAATTTTCTACAGTCCAAGATTTACCAAACTGGTAACTATGACTTTCTTTTTCTGCATCACAACCAATAAGCGTCTTGTGACCAATGACTGAGATTAAATCAGGATTCTTTAAGTAGTAACTTCCCTTACCAATTCATTAACTGCTAAGGATACAAAAAAAAAAAAAAAAACCAAAAAAAACAACACCACCAACCCAAAACACCAAGAGTTTCTGTGTAGATTTTTTACCAGTCTTCAAGGACAATCTTATCTCTTTTCTCAAACACACTAATCTCAAGTAAGGGAAGGCTTCGAGTACGCAAATATGCTGTCTGTGCTTGTTCAGGGAGATAGGAGGATATTTTCTGACATGACTTCTGTCCTGTTTGTCACCAGTTTGTCACTACTGCATCACATGCTGTCTCATCAACATGCATAATTATTTTCTTGTCCGTGATAATTCAGGCCAAGTAAAATGAAAAAGTTTTCTTGGAGGGTGAGTAATAAGCTTGTATAGTTAGGAGAACTGACTTCCACACTATTTCATCATAAAAAGAAAAGGACACATTGCCATGGCAAGACCTCACCTATTATTTTATTTATAATGCTTCAGAAAATATCTGGAGCAGATGTAGCCCAACTGCTTTAACTGGAGATATCTGCTTCACACTGTCACTAACTAATATGGTATGAGACTCTTTTTAATATAAATTTATATTCTAACTGTAGACATTTCATTGTTTAATGCTTGCAAGCACATATGCTAGAGGAAAGATGGGTCACTGTGCTGCAGGGGTGCCCAACTCAAGTGAATGGATGGACTGTTAAAGACATCCATTTCAGGTTTTTGTTCCTCTCCATAATTATTTTTTTTACCATAATGAAACCAGAGACTATTATAATTTACATGGGTATGGAATGTGTTTAAGAACCCTATGTAATTTTGTACAAGTAGATAACCTTATAATAGATACAAGTAATCATTCAAACTTCTGTATCTGCAATTTGATTAGTCTTACAGGATGTGATTTCAATTATACTACTCCTATCACAACTTATCAGTTGTTAAGATCTAATTATAAATTAGTCCAAGATTGGCAACCCCCACCTATTGGAATGGAAGAAAACTTTTGCATCATGAAAACATAATTACTGTCCAGCATGATGCAAAAAGAATACATCAAGTTATGAAATGAGTGAAGTCAGATAGAAAACACTACTAGTGGGATATATTTACAGGCTATTCCCCATTAGCTACCAAAATCTTAAATATAACCAAATATGGACCTTACAGGCAGTAATAAAATATAATAAACCCCTTCTGACTGCAAAAGAATTTGCTTAGGGAAAAGAAAAGGGGGGAATTGATACAGAGAAATGATTACTCGTTTTGAGATTTATTTACTTATAGAAAACTGCTTAGCAACTTATTTACTTACTTACAGCGAGTTATAGTATTTTTTTAAATATTGCTAAGAATCCTGCTTGCCCAGACTGTTCTGTGGAATTTTACCAAGGACTACGGTGTTAATCAAAACAAAGCAGTTAGTTCACTGTGAAAATCTACCAAGGATTACAATGTTCAGCAAAACATTATACTTTTGGCCTTGAGTAACAGGTGGCTCTAACTAGTTGGAATTTTGCTAATGAATAAAGATAGCCATATATGAATGGTAGAAGTTCTATTGGTTCTCTTAGATAAGATAGAAAGTAAACTGTCTGAAAAACACTCTTGTTATTCAAGAAATTGGCCAAGAGAATCTGTGCATGCTCTGGGACTAAAAACAAAGTGAGAAAGACTACGAGCCTTCCTCCTAAAGACTCCCGAAGACGACCACCAGGAGGCAATGCGCAGGTGCAAAGATGACATAAACTGTTGACATCAGCCTTTGTAACTAACCCAGCCTTACTCATGCATATGTATGTTTGCGTTATGTAATCCAATGAATATGGATATCCACACTCTATATGTTTTTGGTAAAATGTGCGGTGGGAGTGCAAGCTTTGTGGAGAAATCCCCTTGCACCCTGGCGCCGGAGTAAACATACCCGTTTTATAACTCTATTTGAGTTGTACAGTCTTTTCTTTTTTCTGCAAATCCCCCCAATGTGTCCTGCTTACCCTTTCCTGGCCACTACCTAGTCAGCATCCAGCACATACATGAAATGGTCTCAAGTTCCCAGGTGCTGATCAGAGACATAGGTGGCCAGCATTTGTCAGGTCTCATCTTCAACCCATTTGCTGCTTCTGGGCAACCAGATGGGTTAATCACACGTGCTGTCTATCAACTGCTAAAAAAAAAAAAAAAAAAAAAAAAAAAAAAAAAATTAAAAAAAACCTTCTAGGGCCTTACATTTTGCTGATGTATCCCTCCCAAAGCCTTAGACTGCATCTCTTTTAGAATGACACAAAGCTGCGATCAGCCATGTGCTGCCGATTGTTGGGCAC